CTTTTGGGTTTTCTGTGACTGTGAGTCCAGAGGCCTACCTTCTTCCCCTGAATACAAGGTATGGTCATTTTCGTTGTATTTGTGACATCTTGCAGTCCAAATACAGTTATAACGACTGTAGGACGTGGAAATAAAGCGTCGAGTCCATAAATACGAAAGGTAGCACCCAACCCCTTAACACTGGTCATGCCCGTGCAATGAGGATCTGATGCAGTGCTGATAATCAATCCATTCCTCAGGAGTCGGGACACTACCTCGTTGACAACCTCCGTTTAGGGACAATCCTGTCATCCCCTTTTCTTCTTCTTTTTTTTCCACCTTCCCTCACGCACTGGGGTGACTTTTGTGGGGGATACGTACTCCCTGTCATCCTCGTTTGCACACACACTGAGCTTTTCAATGTTTTTTCTTCGCAGGGGGGGACACTAGAGCATGGTACACAACAACACAGATTGAAAAGGCAACTGCACGTGACTTCCAAGACTTGCTCGATGAGATGCACCTGGAGAAGCAATTGGCCAAATGCATGACGTGCATGTGGATGGGCGTATGCATGTCCAGGTGCATTCCAACTGGGCAAGCTACCTTGTGGAGTTGTAACCCTGAGAAGGCTAGCTGCCTTCAACACCTATTCATGATGACCACCTCGCCCTCCTTTTGTCGCCCCCCTCTCTTCTTTTCCTTCAATGTACAGTCCATATGTGGGCAATTGTTGGCACGGCTAGGAGGGCAGATGGGACAGAACAGGGTGGGACTCGGAAAGGATAGCCCAAAAAAAAATTACATCTGCCCATTTCCAGGTTGCAAATGTGAGAAAATAAAAGGCTGCGAAGATTGCAAATGTGAGAAAATAAAAGGCTGCGAAGATGGTTACTGTGATGAGATTCGGTCTCATATCCAGCGGCCTCGCTCAGTTGGTAAGGCATGCAAGTGGCATTCAAGAGGTCTTGGGTTCAATCCCCACTGACCTCATGTACCTTCCTGGGCAAGCTTGAAGCTTGGTCCTGATGCTACCGGCAGGATGACCCCTGGCCGGTATCGCCCACCTGCTGTAGCTGGTGGGTGCTGCTCCCGAGCTTCACTTTATTTAATTTGACAAAGAATTCCCGCTTCCACGAAGCCGCCGTTAGGGGCAATCACCGAAAAACCATTGACGCCAATCGTGATTAATTATGATATTCTTTTGCTTTGCACAGCTGTAGAGCGTACTGGTCAAAACACATGCTGGGAACCGGGCCCAGCGTCCCACTGAAAACAGGTTTTCCTAAATTCCTTTTTCAGGCTTTATGGCAAAAACACCACTATTCCCCCCAACGAGGGGGAAGTCAACAACAGTTTAGTACTCCAGACGGTGTCAATATTTTGTGCAAAAAATATATATATATATTGTGCATCGGGGAAGGAAAAAAAAAAAAAAAAAGGAAGCCTGGGTATAGGTTTTATTCCCACCCGGGACTACAGCCTGGAAGATAAAAATCTTTGAAAAGTTGGTACACCGTTGGACAGTTGAAATTCAGACCTGAAATCCAGCCCACATGGCACGAGATAAATTAAATAACATGATTGCAAAAAATTGAATGCATTCAATAAATGCAATAGAAAACAGAACGAAAAAACGGAAAAGGAAACCCTTAAAATCATAAGACAAACCCCCATTTCTGGCATTTCTTGCAAAATGCATTTTGAAGCTTTTTTTCAATGTTGCCCTGAGCAAGCAAACCCCTTTCTGTTTCTGGGACTCCAACAAACGGGTATATATGCATTAACAAACCCTCTGCAGAATCTGCACACACACAAACCGCTTTTGGTGAGAAACGTTAAGAAGTTATGAGAACGGTGGCTGCACGAAGGCGGTGGAAGGCGGGGTAAGGGGGGCCAGTTCTGTGAAATTTTGAGGATGCCCAGTTTGGCAACTATCAGTGTTTATAGTGTTTGATGAAAAATTCTGGAACAATTGAGCGATGGGTAGTGATGCTGATACAAATTAACAAAAACAACTATGTGTGCATTTGGCAGCGAAAAAAATATAAAATTGAAACTCGCTGCAGCCCCGATGGGCCCAAAACTTCCGGACTCAGAAGTCCAGCGCGACGGAAGAACAACACAAACAGGTTCAGTAAAGTAGCAGTACGCGCAGAGGGCTAAATCCAAACGGAGTACGGGCATACTCACACTACGACCTCTCTTCTATTTTTGTTCTATAGACGTAACTGGGGGCGCAGACATACTGTTTCGCCCGCCATTGCAGTCGGACACATTTAATATCTGTTGCTAGCCTGAGTCCGCAGCAGCCACCTTCTCTGTGTTTAGTCCAAACACTGACCACGTGCTTGGCATACCCTAACACTGTGAAATAGCATATCCTGTCTCTTATACACATCTAGATGTGTATAAGAG